TTTTAATATCAATGTTCATTAAAAAACGACCATTTGAAACTGCATGATAGGATAAGTAAATAATATTTGTAAATATTTACCATAATCTACAAATAAATAACAAGTATTTATTCGTAGACTATAATCTGCCTAATTTTCATTGCTAAGTTAATTTACTTACTTTACTTTTTACTAAATAGCAAGTAGCAACCCTTTTACTTACTTAGTTCTAACATGGCAGAAAGCATTAATATTTATAGTATCAAGGAAATAGACTAGGTACCTTTTTTTTTAATTATTCCAAGCAATAATCGAACGATACTTAGTGCTTAGTACTAAGGGCTTAATTCACAATAGTATTGTATCACGTAACGGCTTATAAAAAAGATTTGTGACTGTGAGGGCAAGCGTTCCTAACTTAGCGGTTCTTCAGGACATTCGTTATCAGTATTCTTATCAGAGTCAGTGCGGTTACACCTCGCAAGTGCAAACACCTGACAGCCCACCTGTCGCATCGCTATATCTTTTAAGTTATGATTATAATCGTAAGACCAATAAATGTTATTTCCTAGTATCGTAGTACGTGCACGTGTACTAAAATTTGTAAACGTGTGTCGATTATTTGATAAATTAAAGATTTGATTTGCTTCAGCGATTTCTATACAGTTCCTTAATAATTATAGTGATGAATATGTCAATATCTTATCATAAGTAATGATTTTATTACGTTTGCGATATAAAATATTGTTTACTTGATAAAAAAAGGAAAAGATAACTATTGAATATTGTTCTTAGATGAAGTTAAAATGTCTTTAATAAAACCCTGTTACTCATTACTTCAAAACAATGTTTTGTTTTTAGTTAGATGATAAACACTTGTGCTTCATTATATATATACGTATAACGTATCTTATTTATTAATATAAATATATATGGTTTAATTTATTAACCACTATTATATATTTAACTAGCGGCTCACATCCCCCTGACTCGGTTTTTAGCATTTTTTTTTATGTGTAGACATTCGACCTCTACAGTTTTATTATACGTATAGATATGTTTTTGCTTTAGATTTTCCTATTAATAATGCAACAATTAATATAACTAGATAGAAATACTTTAACGGCTAAAAACAGTAGTTTTTACGCTAATACGAAATTAGACAGTTTTTTAATTTAACAATATTGTAAAAAAATAATCTATTTATTTGACGTCTCATATATAATAATCTCATATATGTTTATAGCTATTTATATTCTAGTTATGAACCATACATTACTGCATAAAAATTTAAAAAATAAATTCATGGAAGCAACACGTACAACAGGCAATGCTGCCTAAGTAGGTACGGAAAAAGCCGTGCGAGAAAAAATTTACATACATTCACATTATAGGTATGTATCATATGGTTTAGATTTTAGGCTGTGAGGATGGAGAGCAAAGCCCTACTTATTATATACATTGTACATACACACTTATATATCGCTGGGATTATTATAGCTATGTTTAAGAAATTGACCTTAAATATTGCTGTTTGAAATTTCCTTCTACAACGACAATACATATAGTACAAGTTCCAAATTGAAATTCAAAATCTTTTATTCAGCATTAAATTATTACAATTTTTTACTGAACGTCATGAATCTACTACCACTTGGAAAGAAGAAGCCTCAGACTTGAGAAGAACTGGCGAAAGAAACTCAGCGGGACTAATATTATTTCGCTTATGCGCAGTTATTTTTTGTGGAATCACGCTCCGTCATTTTATTGTGATAAAAGAGTTATTTTACCTGTGCCCATACTAATTGCCATGATCGAAGGTTGGCAATGTGGTGCTGGCACACCTGTGTAATCGCATTAGTGTTATCACCGATAGCTTATCAGCGTACGAGATTCGGTTCACTCACTTATAAATAGGTGTACCTACAACTGTTAGGGAATGTTCTGAAGACTATATTTTTTTATACTAACGAAGGTTCTTTTTTAAATTTTGATTGCAATGAATAGAAGTAATTTACACAATTTGTACCTAAAATAAAAGAGGAAGATCGTAGTTTGGCGTGCCCGTATAGAAAGCATCTGTCTAATTACCTTAAAATTCTAGTACACCGACTCTTGAATGATAAATGTCCAAGACGTCTTTAAAAAACAACCATACTATGTGTAGCTATATAATTCTAAGCTTAATAATAATTGAGATTTTGTCCTAATGAGGATCAATTTAAATAACAGCAATTTCTCAAAAATAATATTATAGCCAAAGGGCTGATCGCAAATTATACCTGGAAAAAAATATAGTAAAAACAGCAAGCACAATTTACTTTATGAAAGTACTAGTGACTCATCTTCGCTTCGTTCTTTGATTCCCCATACAAACTGTCATCCCCATTTTCACCCCCTTAAGGGATGATTTTTGGGATAAAAAGTATCCTATGTGCTTCCCAGGGTCTCAAACTATATTCTTACCAAATTTCATCTAAATCGGTTCAGTAGATCCAGAGATTCCCCTACAACGTCACAAACTCACAAACTTTATCTCTGTATAATATTAGTATAGAAGAATGCAGAATTTCGAAACATATTGTTAAAAACTACAATAATTAAATAGTTTATTATTTTAATTGTAACTAAAAACTATTATTAGCATGGATTACATAATATGTAGTTGTATAAGATAACTCATTACACATACTTATTGGAACAAAACTTTTGCCACGTAGACTACGGGCCCTGTGGCGCAACGGATAACGCGTCTGACTACGGATCAGAAGATTCCAGGTTCGAATCCTGGCAGGGTCGTGGTAATTACATTTTTATTATTTTTTCAAAAACATGTTACTTTTTAATGTTGACAAACAAAAGTTTACAGAGTATGTGCGAATTAATATTCATTCAAAATATTTTTTCTTGGTATATATTTTTATATGAACACGATTCAAATTTGTTTGATAGCATTATACATTAGGAATTTATTGAAAAACTATTGTAATGTTTTTCGTTAGGGTTTATTTTCGATTGACATTTTAAATTACAAAAGTTTAACAAGCGCAGCTGATCAAATATTGTACAGGCGATAATTGGCCGTGATGCAATCGCGTGATTCTCGCATCCGTTAACATGACTTTTTCTAAATTTCTGTAAAATGCTGTATCATAATACTATCGTAAGTTGAAACCCAACTTCCTGTGGTAATAGTAATATTTATAGAATTAGCGATAAATTTCATTTAATGTAAGTAGTTAACAAGATACTTTCAATATCAATAATTTTGAAATATACGTTGGGTTATAGGAAAATTATTGTCGTTGAAAATGCCATTAGTTTGCGGTAGATACGCTAATCTAACCTAACTCAGTGACCGCATCGTTTACGGATAGTTTTTGTCTCTATGTAGAGATAAGTATGAAAAACGGCGTTACGGCGTTGTGATGATAGAAAGTCTTATGAGCTGTTTTTTAAAAACTGGGGATATACATATTGAAACAATTATATACTCTTAGTATCACTCACGTTGATTTATTCTAAATGAAGCATCGTTCATTAACATTAAGATCATCATAAAATATACGAATATTTTCAATATTCAGAATTTATAAGCAATATTTTTTGTGTGGTTTATATATATATATATATATATATATAATGCTTTATGTGTAATCAAAAACGAAGCTCGTCAATCATCTCATCAGCTCGTGTTAAGAATAAATATCTGATATGAAAAAATATCTGATGGTAGTAGGTTTAATTTATAACGAGACAATGAAGTTTATCAAAAAGTATTGTCCCCCTGTTGTTTATATGATATTTTATTTATTTGTATTGGATGCATTCAATAAAAGAAAAAAGTATTGTAATAATATTATTTTATTTTCTGTTGTTCTATTGGTACTTATACAAAAATCAGTGCAGTTTGAAGTAAAAAGAGGAAAAAATAATTTAAATCTGTATTTTGTGACAAGGGTTGATAAAGAAATAGAGCATGAATATTAGTTGCCAAAGGTGTCTGTCTTATTAAGCAACTGTAAAATAATTTTGTACTTTGTCACAGATCTTAAAAAGCACATACATACAAGTTATGTAATAACATACAATACAGCTTGTCTGCTACACCTCTCTAATAACTAAAACTATAACAGTCTGTTCAAAATCATAATACACCATAATTAATAAGAATTATATAAGATAATTAAAGCATTTTCACCTTATATTCAATATAAAATCATAAAAGGGTCTCAAATTTGATAATTTTTGCTAAATTTTTATATATATATTTTAATTTTATTACGTACAATATTTACATTTTATTTGTACTAAACGCATTTTTATAAATTAATTAAAAGAAGATTATGCGTTTAGCACTTACAATAATATTTTAATAATCTATAAGAGCAACAAAATCGCCATGCATAATCACACTCATGAATTTTTAACTTAAAATTATATAGGCAAACCAACTTTTAATTGGTTCACTTCTTTGATATAAAATGGAAGCATCGTTTTAGAACTAAGAGCCTAAGAAAGAATAATATAAGGATTTTTTTGTTTTATTTTAAGTATTTGTGTGTTGTAGTAAGTGCACAATAAATGTTTAATTTACAATGTTGAATTTTGTGAACTTAATTTGGAATTTTTTTCTAGATATCGCAATTCACTCAACATAACTATTTACAAACACCTTTACGTACATCAAACTAAATTAATAACTAATAAAGCTTTTTACATTAACAGTAAGTATAACAAAACAAGCCGTCACGCCGCCGACGGCGGCGGTGGCGGCCGATTGCATTGCAATGCTTAGTCTTTAGCGTAATGCCACGAAGTAATTAAATTATATTGATCTTAACGAGATCGTGCTTAGGATATCATCGCGAGATGAAGTTCACTGGAACTGATGCAGGAGGCTCCCGGCTCTGATGGCACCCACTTGTACCAGGTGTATCCTATAGAGCGCTGTCCGTGCATCTCGAGGTATATTTGACATTCACCATTAATACAACTGTCCTTAACCTAACGATCACTTAGCACGACGTCGGCCTATCTGGTTGATCTTGCTTTTCGGGAGTCTGTAACAAAAAGATAAATTTCGTTAGCCAAATACTGAGTCACGAGTTCTATATCTTACGTCGCGTCGATAAGATTAATAAATAATCAATAACATATTAATTACTTAGTGTAATTAGCACTAGCGGAATTAATTTGACCCTTATAAAACTCATACTCAATAATATTAAATTTATCTAATATTACATTTATTGGTAATTGTCAGAATCATTTAATTTATTGGGTGAGACATACGCATCCCGCCCTCGTTTGGCCATCTGTCACCAGTCACCACATATGCTTCAACAATGTTTTAATTCATTAATGTCCGGTTAAGTAGCTTATGGTGTTAGTAGTTTAGGAGTCGTCAATAGTTCATCTTTTATGGTAATTATATTATTATTTTTTTATCATTACGACGGCAACTATAGTAATTTCAACGTATCATTCTGGGTATCCAGCTCAGAGTGCGTGTTAGATTACCGCTTCCCGTCCGCGCACATCCGCGATACAGCTGAACGGCCGCACGTGGCTATACCCTATTTACAGACATACCAAAGGGAGAGCACACATGTCCCGAACGGATTGGGACTTTGCGAGAGTGAACACGTGAAATCCCTTTATGAGAGGAGCATTGTCGGCCGCGTAATGAATAGGTACATTGCATTTATTTAGCTATCTGCCACCGGCGCCGTCACGTGTGCTCAAACGCAGCTGTGAACGACCGTTACCCGCACAATGCCCTCGATCGATCGTCGATGGAATCCGAGCGATCGGCAAAATCATTGCACGTGTGCAGACCGACAGAGGTTTGCCAAGACATTTCGCGGTGGAGCTGCATTGTCTACTCGTCGCCGCCTTTACCGATTTATGAGTTCGAAGAAGCGTAAAGGTGATCGTAAAACTTTCACATGCGCAATTTATGCGCAAACTGAGTAGAGTAAAGTTATTCAGACGACTCAACGAGGAACGGGCGTGGGCGCAGACACCTGGCTTCATTAGTAGGCAATGTTGCCCGTCGTGGCCACCCCGCGCCACTCTAATATGGTTAAGCTAAGGCGCCAGACGATTTAAAAGACTCCAATTGATCGTGGTTGTACGTATACGGCTATAGCTATTTATTTACTTTAATTATATAAACGGCCATATATAAATTTAAAGTGAAAACTATATTTAAATTTAATCGATAAAAAATTTTTTGACGTTTATTTAGTCTGTTTTTGGAAATATATAATAAAGGGTTTGGTGTTTTGATTATGTGTCATATTGGTTAGTTTGACATCACAGTAAATATGAAAGAGAGAATCATAACAGTTTCATCTACAAGAAAACTTAAAATTACATAAATATCTTTTCACTACAGATGCAGGCGGTTGAATGTCTTGATTGCAAGTATCGCGGTCGTGGGAGCCCGAGGGCAGGCAGCTGCGAGAACAATTTACGGTCGCATCTTATGATAGTTGCCGTGCTGTATGTTCGTGACCGAGGTTTGTAGCACACGGTACGGCGTCCGATGTTTCTCGCGATAGCCCCGTAAAATGCCGCTCACGACGCTCACGTTTAAGTCAAGAATTCCAGCACGATCACCTCGCGGCTGATTTTTTATAATTTTATTTTTATACGGATCTGTTCGATTAAATCTGTGTTTGCGACACGGAAAAGTGAGACACGTATGTCCTTGTAAGTTAGAATATTAGGTACACATTAATATTTAGGAATGTGGTTAAATTACACGACATTCCGACAGTTCCTGCTCAGCGTGGGCGTATTAGTAAATAACACAAACTTAATGCAGTGCGTTATTGTGAACGTCTCTGGGTAACGATTATATAGTTTATGTGCTTACAAATAAAAAAATTATAGCTTGTTGAAATATGCTTTTAAGAGGTGTGAAGGGCGTACTAAAAATATGAATTCTAATATTGGACATTGACCCTGTGTATAAACTAGTTAAATGTAATTTTAGTTTTAGTTTTTATCAAAAATCATCTAATTGAAAATAAAATTGTATTTTATAATTCGGGCATGGTTACGGAATTTGTGACAGTCACTGCTGTAAATTTTGTACAGCACCTTGCGTCTTCTAAATCACGTTTGTTTTCCACAGATCTAACAACTGGCAGTGATTAAAATTTACGTGGCACTACCAAGTATTAACGAGCGCGCATCGTGGGACTTGTAGACACAAGGCGCTCGAATAAATCCTGCGAGATGCACCTGCCGTCCGCCGACGGCCGACTCACCAATGTGATGCATTTATAGCCGTGCTGATCTAATCCTCATCCAATGAATGGAAACTTAACCATAATTGTATCCTGGCATGGAGATAAAGTAATCATATGCAGGTGTCAATCGGAATGCTAAACGAAGCAGCATAAATGTCTTGAATATTCAGATTGTGTGTCAGTACACGGTCGTTTACGCGGCGCCGGCGCAGGTGGCCGCGCTTCAAGGCTGAAATTCAAAACAGCCGTCACGCATGCGTGAATAGCAGTCTAGATTGTGACTGCATATTTACTGACTCTACTGTACTGTGACTTTAATACGTTTCATTATTACACCATCTGAATATCCTACTAACCATTCAAACATGTTGAGTATTATGAAGATTCATTACAAATCTTGGCTAATTAAGAGTTAGAAAGCAAAATGTTTAGTTTTGTATTAACGTGGGTAATCAATATTTATTAACGGCGCTATTAGTTTGTATACGTTACGGGTGTAAGTAAAGTACTAATATTAAGCCTTATTCATTATTTATGAAATAATTCATGCGTCCACATGAATTGTGAAACTCTCAGCATCTCCACTTTTACCTTCCCGCGCTTGCGAAACACGCAGGTGCGCGCGCGCCGCAAAAACATTGACACAACTGATTTCATTAACTTTTTATGCAATATTATCTAGTATACTATTATACGACGAGTTAATTAAAAACATATTATATTCAATTCTATAGGTACTAAAATTACTTTATAAATTGATAGTTTTTACTACTCACCATATGATTAGAGTGATGTGTCGTCGATACAGCCTTATCGGCAGGGAGGATTGTGTTGGGTGCTGGGCGGACGCCCAGCGGCCGGCGACGCGGCTTGGGCGGCGAAGCGCACGCAGGCGCCAGGGCGGCCTCCGCCTCGAACTGTCCCACGGCAGGATGATTTTCCAATGCCGACTGTAGATCGCAAATATAATCGATCACATGCTGGATCACTTCCAGTTTTGAGATCCGCCTATTCTTTGGCATAAACGGCACCAAATCTTGTAATTTGGAGAGATACATTTGAATTTCAGCGTTCTCGCCGTCCCGATGCCTCTGCACCCGTCCGCTGGCGATCGCCGGCACAGACGCTCCAGTTGCGCACACCGCCGTTATGGCTTTCATCGTGACAGACACTTAACACGAGCACTGGTTTGTTTATCGCGGCGAGTTACGCGTATTGCACGGATTGCAAGCGAGGAATGAGGAGATGCGCGGTGCGACGTCGTATTTATGGTTGCGGGTGGGGCGCGGGGCGGACCGGGGCGAGCCAATACGCGGAGGGGGCGGCGAAGCCTGATTTTCCCATGGCGGCGCTGCGGCGCGGCGTATGCTGCGGCCTGCGCTGGGCGGCCCTGGTAAAGGCCGTTGCGCTCGTGACACGCACTTTGTCCTGAACTGTTTGTTTTGAGACTATATTTATTTTGCATTTTTTTGGCCTCATTGTATACTATTAACTAATAATATGTCTATTTGCATGGGTATTTTAAAGTTTTCTTTAAAAAGGAACTTACGTTATATTTCTTCAATGTAATGAATTGTAATTTAAACGTAACTAGTATATTAAACAACAAGTAAATAAGTAGCGAAAATCGACTTAGCAAAAGCTTATAAAATTCCTTTATGAATAAACAGGTAAACAAAACTGAAAACAAACGACTGTTCGTTTCTTGAGTCACAATTATTTCGGTCCGGTTACTACTATTGTTCAGAGTTTTATACATCATTGTACATAATATATGTGCATTGTACATACATGAATAATATTATTTAATTATTTTTGTAACCGACTTTATTTTGCTCTATGTTAGGGGAAATATTGTGATGGTTTCATCAGTATTATCTCTACTGCTCTTTAACGCCAGAACGGCTGAAGGGATCGATTATAATCTGGAATAACACATAGGTTACTTTTATCCTGGAAAAATTTACGGTTCCCGTGGGATAGGTTTGATTTTGTTTTCCCAGAGGCTAACCGGAGCGAAGCGAGGGTGAGCCGCTAGTTTTATAATATAATTTATGACACACCATTTATATCAATTAATACGATTATAATATTTCGTTATATTAATTTTAAATAAACAATAGTACCTATATGATACCTTTAGATTATTATTCTAATGCTTTAGCAATATTTAAATTGTAATATTGCTTGACCATTGTTGTATAATTATTATTTTACTACAGGAAACGTTACGTATCTAGGTAACTATACGAATAATCAATATATAATCCATTGCTTTTAAGAGGTGTTTGTAGAAGGACTCATGATGAGAAAAATCGGGAAAAGGGAGGGAGGGGGTCATCGTGGAACAATGGCCGTACGTGAAGGCATCCACTTGTCGCGCCGACAGGTCCGGAGGCTGAAACGCACCCAAGGTAAAATCAGGTAAAAATAAATGACTGATTGTGAGAATAAATCGCAGTTTAATGTATTTAATACCGGACTACTATTATAAATGCGAAAGTTTCTATTTGTGTACTTGTAAGTTGGTATGTAAGTAAAATATGTAGGTAAAGATAATATTAAAAAAAACAATTTTAGAGAGCAAAAAGTATCTTATTAATTAATACGTAATATAACGTGGTGAATAATTTAGATATTTGTTACGTAACAATAATTCGATAATTTTTACTATACCTATAGCATACAAATCTTTAAAGCATTAGGTCACTTCGAGCCGGCCACATAAAAAGGTACGAATTGTAATAACAGAGAATGTAAAAAAAAAACAGCAAAAAGTCACCTTGGACGGGAGTGAGGAACTCAGGTAGTAAATTGCTTTATTTGAAAGCCTTGCCGTTATTTAATGGTAAATATGCTATTTGAGAAATTAGTCTCTCGACATTTATTGGATGCTTAATAGGGCCTTAAGTGAAGTTGAAGATATGTTTATTTTTTGACTACATTCTACATTATTTATTAAGGTGCTTAGTCAAATATTAATTAACGCTCTATGTTGATTTTTGTATAGTTTGTTTTGTGAATAGGGCTTTGAAAAATAATAGTACAAATATTATAAATACTAATAGTAATAACTAAGTACATATCTATATATAAAGTTTAAATGATTTATATTTATGAATTTTTTAATTGGATTTAATTTAATATGTCCGGTGAACAATTCTTATATAAAACTAATAGTATCAGGTAAGATAATTTGTTAACGTAATAATTTCGTTCCAGTGTTAAAACGTGTTTTCACGGCTTCCTGAGAATTTAAAATTGTTCACAGACATTTCATTATTGTCCACTCACGTTCAGGCATTTTGTCTTCATAATCTCGTATCGAAGCACCTTGCAATGCAATGTTCTACGGAATATTGTTTTAGACGTACAGGTATCGTCCTTTGTCAGATTTAGAGACAATAAGCAAAAAGTCACAACGACATAAACACCTCAACAACTCTTAAAAGACATTTTGTAAGATGTTTATATATTCGGGCGCTTGACAAAAAATGTTCTCGTCATGATTTTTGTTCTTGCAGGTGTAAATTGTTTATGATGGCCTTTTAAAGGCTTAAAAGTGTGAAATCGTAAAATATTCTTAGGTACAAAATGCAATAACTTTTTGAAGTAGGTATAGACTACACTTGCAAAGTGGTGCAATAATAAAATATATAACAGTTTTGCTTATGTTATAAATTTTAGCTTCGTATTAGAAGCGTCACAACTCGCATTATAATGAGTAGGTAATATTACTTGTCACAATTTGTAATATATTTATTACAAATTTTGATTTAACTAAAGAAATTGCGAACCTGAATGCTGTACCTACTAATTAATTATAACAATCATTATACTAACAACGAATCAATAAAATTTTATGTTTTAAATATAAATAAAACAACTAAAAGTAACAACTACAACAACTAAAGTATGAATCATTTGTAATTATATTAATTGTAAGATTTACAACGCACTACACCTTATATCACTTTATACTCCATTCCATTTATAAGAGAGATTCATTAAAGCCTATGCATTAGCCACGGGGCGGAGTGCTTACATTCCCCCGCGTGGGAGTGCCGGGCGCGTGCCGCTCCCATCGCGAACCACCCTGATTGTAAACCCGATATCTATTCATTTCCTAATACACTGGAAAACGAGACAATTGATCTGTGCATGAAACCATTTCGTTTAATTAAAATACTTGCACGCTACGGTTTGAACAGTAAATTATTTTAGCACCCATTATAATTCAGAAAACAATCAGATTGTAGGTTTTCTATTAAATTGCTCCATTTCACGACTTAGTAAATCTGATTTAGTTTTCAGTATTTTGGCTTATATTTTGCCATTATTTCTGTTAGTCTTGCTTATAGATTTAATAACTATGTACTCTATCGAAACCCTAAAAGGTTGGCTATATTGGCTTGCCGTTATTACTTTATATTGACAGAGTAAACAGTTCCGTGCTCCCTCCGGTCCCACGGGAGGGCGCGAGAAATCCCTTAATACGTAGCTTGCAGGTGCGGGCTCATTACGCGCTTTTCCGGCACGTGTCAGCGCGTGTACAGACGCATATCTACTATAGTTTGCGAATCGAATACGCTGCACGCACTCGAACAATCGCTTTGATCGACATAGATCAATAGATAGGAGCGTGCACATTGTTGTTTTATACGTTCTCTTTGCTATATTATATTACCAGTTTTGGTAGATATCTCCACTGTATCTTATTTCTTCAGTTAAATAATAAAATTATTTTAGTATTACATATATGAAATTATATTAGATTAATTAAATTAACTATAACAGGTAGTAGACTCATGACGTTCAGTAAAAAATTGTAATAATTTAACGCTGAATAAAATATTTTGAATTTGAATTTGAAAAAAATGAAATTTATCATTATCTATGTATTTGTATTTACATAGTATGTGTTTTTATTTTATATTGCATGAATCCTATGAAGAGTATATTACGATATATGTAAATTATTATTGGTTCTAGAAATATATTCCAAAAATGTACTAATCCATAATATTGCAAGAATAAAATCTCAATTCCTATGGGAATGGTTATATTCTCGTGTGAATAACGATTTGTGCGGCGTGGGAAGCCGCCCAGGTCACAGGTCGTCGGGATAATTATAGTGCTCCGGCCGTCTGTCTGCGCACGCGCACCTCAACGGAGCGTCTTTACATCAATTGTTTTGTTGTAATAGACGACTATTTACAGATTTAAAATAATCGCTCATTTTTATTGAATACATCAATAATAATTATTAAGCATAATATAAGAACTCAGTATTTGTTTTTAAATAGATGTTGCTGTCTTTCTATTGAAATTTATTAGCATATGGTCAGGTATAAATTTTTTATTCTTGTCTAAAATACTAAAATACATACATATGTATTATGTATTATGTATATTATATATTGTTTTACATCAAACAATTTATTTTAAATGATATTTTTACAAACAATTGATTAATGATTTTGCTAATTCGATGTAACCATTTGATAAACCTTGACTAGGATTAATAACATGCTTACAATGGAGGCGGAGGGGACTTATTTTGCAATAAGCGTAAAAGGCATTTAATAATGCAGACGTCCGATCGCGTGCGCGTGCAGTGAACAAATACCTAGCAATCGCGTAATGAAGGCGATGGTGGGGGAGAGGTCACGTGGCGGTCACGCGACTGTTTTAACATTTTCTTATATACGGGTGAGGGTGAGTTTTAAAAGCCATTATTACATTAGGTATTTTATTTCGATCTTAGTCATTAGTCATATTACATATTTTATTATTCAATATTAAACGTGATTTCTGCTTTAATTTAATGTTGTTTTATTTTAAAAATTAAAATTAGTAGTTCATAGTTAAGTAACTCTTAGGGACTTGACAATTAGTTTAAATATCAATATACCTAACTATTTTAACATTACTGTTATTTATTTTAATATTTATAGTTTATATTCATAATTAATTCTTGTCAATGATACTTGTTTCATTTGTATATTTTTTTTAATTTAATTTAATCTACTTAAATAATTTTTGGAAAATATATTTTAAACTTTACTGATAACTTGTACATTGTAAATCGTAACATGACTGTTGTCAAATTTTATAAAAATATTCCACATACAACTCGTAACAAAAAGAATCTATTACGTAAGCAAAACGAAACTCCCACAGATTTATTATAAAAACTGTAACTATTTTCCCACAATCGTTACAATACATGAATGCTTGGGATCAACGCGGATTGAATCATTATTATATAGGGGTACGTAACCTCAGGCATAACTAGCCATTTTACGGAGGCCTCCGATTGTGGACATAATTTATTTTTTCATAGAGAAATACGTATTGTTGATATTATCAAGGGTCTTGATATATTGGCACAAACCATGCTTAGGGTGTTGTGACACGCGTGGGAGCTGCTTCTATTGTGAGGGCACTTAACTCGGCTCTGATAAAGGAACTATAGGACCATTAGATGAATTCGTTTTGCTCATTCGTTGACGGCATGAATGGACATTGGATTATGATTCGTAAAAAGGTTTAAGTTTAAGATAGGGGTTGTGATGAAGCAAGCGCATTACATTCTGATAATGTGCATTTATCAATTTAAGTTATGGCTTAAATATACTACTAATATGAACCTACTTGAAAGTATGTTTCATCTTTTATACTTAAGAGGTAACAAGTTAGTGTACTGTATATATACTCGTATTTTGTATAGATATAAGGGGAAGGCAAAATATTTTATTAGGAATTTTTTGAGTTCGCATTTTTACATTGGTTTATTACTAAATAAGGTTGACTGATTATTTTTAAACATCATAAATAATGTACAATCATTCAATACAATATAATGTAGGTAGTACAACTTCAAGCAGATGCTTAACAATATTTGTGTAAACAATGGACAAAAGTTTTATTATTTTACTTGGTTCCTATAGATTAATTTTGAGATTATTGACCACTTAAAAAGTCTATTATTCCCTTTAAAATATGTGCATTTACTCGTATTAGTATAGGTATAGAATAAAATTTAATAATAACGAATATTAATACCCGCGTTAACAATATTCGCGAACCGCGAACGCAATGAGCTTTAAAAGGCATTATAAATATTTTGGAGTAGGTACTTCTTAAAGCAAGTACAAAATGGGTCGGATCGGGGTGAAAGCCAGGTGTGGTAAACGGGGACCGATATCTTGATTCACTTTAAACTCATGAGGGTTTTATGAATGTTGGTTTTTTGGTGAGAGAAACCCCTTAAACTTTGCCTTCAATTATTCGAGGCCCTAATTGTAGATGATGCGATACGGAAGCATTGTTGTCGAGTTGACGTCGCTATTGGTTTATTGTCCTTTTTCCTATCGGCTGCTGTAAAGCATCTGTTAAAAGTTTCCTATTATGTTTTTATTTAGCAATGATGTTTGTGTACGACCTTGTGGCATGCTGGTGTATTGTTTGTTTATGTTCTTACATTATTTTTATTAATTTAGCACTTTTAATGAATAACTGCCAATTTTACTGTTTTTAATTGAATGCTTTAATATAAATTGTTCTAACTTCCCAGATAGAAGAATGGCAAGATTGATTGGCATTATACCTATATAATATCAGTACTTGTAGGTTTATAGATACTGATGCATAAATTAAACTGGCTGAAATGATCATAATTGGACCTTACTAACGTTTATCCTAATCTAGATACTTTTAATATAGAAAATTGCCACTAAAATGTTTAGTTTAATTATTCTCTGATTAGTTCAAGAATAGTCACCATAATTCCGGAAAACCTAACCAACTGCATGACCAGGACAAGGTGTTAGCTCCCCTAGACGCGATGAGGTCTGTGAATCTGATTGTGCGGCTTTTCACATCGCCAGCTGCGGCAGCTGCGTATGCAAACGCCCTAACACTAACACTTTTATTGCCCTATGTCGCCAAACGCTCCTGTTTTACTAATATGGGCGTTTTATAGATCGTAGATTACTGTAGTCTTAAGACCAAAAAAGTAAGAAAATGTTCTCACAAGATAACAAACAACACATGAATTATAAGCGCCCCGCCCCGGCTTAGCCGGAACCCGGTTATTGGAACTTTCAACTTATACTTGCCTAATACAAAACTATTTTTTCTCTTTCAATTTTATTACCTTGATTTCATAGTAATAACTGCATGACAGTATCCCCACATCGTACATATAAAACTTTATTGGCTTTCTGATTCACTAAACAGTGTAATAACTATTTTGTATGTTGAATATTGTAATTCTTAAATACTTATATCGATGTGAAAGTGTATTTATTGGTATTTTCTTATAAAATATTCGCATATATAACTACTAATAAGTAATAGTATAAACTTACTACTGCTGCGAAAAAACTCGATTTTATCTATAGTGACGCGGTTTTATCTATAGAGACCCGATTTTATAAAGAAACATGATAAGCTGGAATTAATAATATAGGCTTTTTGTCCCAGTTTATATATGTACATATAACACTTTATAAATTGGGATAAAACGATTGTAAAAAACAATAAAAAACAACTTAAAGCTAAGATTCTGAGCGAAGTGAAAGCAAGTCATTATATTACCACCAGTATATTATTATACCTTCCTATAGTTTCAATTTTGTGTATTACTTTTTAAATACAAAAATTGTAATTGAATTTATTTTTAACAGAAATAATATGATAATGAACAGAATAATATTGAATATATAGTATCAGGCTTTTGTAATTTTAGTTTTGTTTTAATTGACAGTACAGAATAAGAAAGTAAAATAATAAAACAAATAACTAAATGTTTCTAGTATTCAAAAAATATTTTCTGTATTAAATTAATGAATAAAACTACTTGTCTGTTGAATTAATGAATAAAACTGTTGTTGTATGCGAAATTTTGTGTGTTTGTGTGTTGTATAATGTTACTACTGCACGCTGATACTGCTCGACGGATTCAGATGTACACAGATATCAGACCGTCTATGATCTGAAGTAACAAATAACCTACTGTTGCCTACCTAAGAATAGTAGGTGTTATCCTAAGGATGCACCCAAGTGAAGCGAGGATGATTCATTAGTATATTCCATAAATCTCCTTTTTATATTTGCCATTATATAGCAACAATAATAACAAGCATTTGTAGTATTTTATCTGTATAATCTATACTAATATTATAAAGAGGTAAAGTTTGTGAGTATGTGATGTTGTAGGGGGTAATTTCTGGATCTACTGAACCGATTTAGATGAAATTTGGTAGGAAGATAGTTTAAGAGCCTGGGAAGGATAACTAAAAAAAATATTTAAATCTCATGATATGAAAAGTGAGTGAGTGAAATAGTTTTTGTCTCGGAGGTCATCCCTAAAGAGGGCGAAAATGGGGATAACTAGGGACTCACTAGTATTATCTAAGTTTGAAATATAATTAATACTTATTATGACAGTAATACTTAACTAATAACTATATATGGAGTTTATAATTAACTAGTTATGCACTTTCTTATATAATAGTTTAATATTAATTGTTTTTTTAACTTAAGTATTTCGAAGTTAAATAACAATACTCCGCCAAATGACATCAAAGACTAAAATAAAGTATTCAGGTACATATATACTATTCTTAAATTAACGATTACACATTCATATGCGTAGCACATGGGTAGAGCAATACAAGGCGGCGTTGTGACGATTGTTCGCTATATCGGGCTAAGCGCACATTTGGCGAGGGCGGCCCGCCCTATTGGTAACACTCGCCAGTATTAAACGCCTATAATTATAGCTATTTTGTAGAGGTATACTTATGTATAATATTAGACATTTTTATTATAATTTCTTTTATTCAAAGAAAGTAAATAATGATTAACTTTAACTTTTAATTACTAAATATTTATGGAGAGAATTTACTTTTCTAGTAGATAGCGTTTATAAATTATTATCTAACGGTTATAGTAGGTAGTTTATAGTGTATGGAAATTGTATCTATTTCTAATACTTGCTTTTGAAGCATACGATGTTACTGTTTTTCATACAAAAGCAAAAATAGCGAAAAAAAAACTTTCTAACATTTGTTGAAAGCATAGAAAATTTTCAAGACAAATCTGTAAAGCATATGTGTTCAACAATTTTTTACGACTGCCATCGATAAATGTTGTGACTTGTTTGTTAAAGTGTGTAAAGCTTATTGCTTCATACAGGTGCGTTGCAAATGCTACCCAATTGGTCCTAGATGTTACCATAGAGAATTTAGATTTTTAAATGTGTAGGTAATATAGGGCAATAATCCTCGCAGGGAAATAAAATTTAGTTCGAAATACAAATTCTAAATAATTTGAGATACCGCGTATTTAGAGTTTCAGCGGAAGGGAATGGGATTTTTTTTCGTCTAACTGAGGATTACGACTTAATGAGGTTCGAATTATCGAGGCTCCACTGTATTAACAATCATGATCTTAATTTTATTTATTATATATGTTAAATTTTGTAATGTACTACTACTTATAGTGTTCATATCCTTAAACAATATAAATATTATAGTGAATATATTTTCTCTAACATCAAGGCAGCATAATACAATATTAATCATTCTGATTGATACTTGATATGAAGTAGCTACGTTTGTATGAGCGCACGTGAGCATTTCACATCTGGACATATTCAGGTCTTTCCCCTGGCATTTCGACTGATTAATGATTGCTACATTGTGTCAATATTTGCATAAGAAACGGACAAGAAAAGATCTTATCGTCCCGCAGATCTCCTTGTTAGCTACATTATTTTGATAACATTTGCCTTATGCTGCGTTTATAGTTTGACGGGCAATTGTGAATCCTATTACATTTGACTATAACTTAAACTGAACTGCTGAGTTTTAGAAGTGCTTGCAGAAAAGAATGGAACTTTGTCACATTGAGATAAAGTTGGTTATAGGAAAATCTAAGTGACAAAATCGTATGCTGCGTAGTCTGCCACAATCCCTCTAAACTTGTCGGACGCGTCAATAAAAATATTCATTGGCTTACACTCTGGTTAACAGTTCACAAGACAATGATTACCAAGGATGTGAATTTAGAAAAAAAATGATGTAGGAATTAAATAAATTAAATAATTTTATGTTTTTAGATTGATCAAGTTGATTCTATAGTACAATTAATTCGAAATTATTATTTTTCAATGTTCGTAATCTATGTAGATCTATTGTATGTATTCAGCCCTTTTTAACGTCCCACTGCTGGGCACGGGCCTCCCTTCAATACGAGGGGGATCAGGCCATAGTCCACCACGCTGGCCAAGTGCGGATTGGCGGACTTCACATGTCTTTCGAAAACTTGCTAAGTTCTCTCAGACATGCAGGTTTCCTCACGATGTTTTTCCTTCACCGTAAGGCAAGTGGTAATCATGTTAGAAATGATTCGCACATGAAAATATCAGTGGTGCGAGACCCGGGATTTGAACCCGCTTCACTCGGTTTCCCAAGCAAGCGCGTTACCACTGGGCTACCACTGCCTTGTAGATCTATTAATATGATGAAAATAATTATACTTAGAAAAACCAATTACGATATATATATATATATATATATATATATATATATATTTGATATATATATATATTTAATATATATATATATATATATATATATATATATATTTATTTATTTATTTTATTCAGGATGTCACAGTGTCATCCCTGATTAAGAATCGTCAAGTAACTTGATTGACGCAATGAAAAATGACGCGACAATGTTTTGAAAAATCGCTTAGGTACTTCAAAAGGGTGACTTTGTTGCGTGGATTTTATTACTTGCATAATTTAGTTTGAAAAATATCCTTGCATTGATATTAAGATTATAAGCAACCGGTCGGTAATACCGTGTAATACGGGCTACTTGATTGAGGACTCCTTTGTTATTATCAATGTCCGTCACAATTCCATAGAATTAAATATCATATATCTATGTCTTGTTTTGTAGGAATAATGAACGGATACCTTTAATTTTTCATGTAAAGTACACGTATATTAAATCGAGATTAATTGATGGTTTCTGGAATATGAACATGAAGAGAAACGCAGGATCATTTCTCATATTACATTCTCGCAGTTTTTTGTTAGTAGTAAATGTAAATAAATTATAAAGCTTGTGTTCAAACATGTGTTCTAATCACGCGTCTAGAATAAGGAAATACAATAAAGCCTTTTTATTACTATTTTACGATTATCGGCTGCTTTGGCGGAAACAGAGCGCTGGCCACATTTGTCGATCACCTTTCTTTGGAAAGCTATGAGCTAGTTGTAAAACATTTCATAAAACGAGTCGTTATCGCCATGTGCGTGGCTGTTCCCACCGGTGCACGTGTGAGGAAGCGGCATATGCTGCAAATCTGTGAGGCATTTTGCTGTGTTATCAAGCGGTAGTGACACATGCGCTTCTGCTGCTGATAAAGTTTCTCTATTATAACAATATAAAATTAAAATAGAAACTAAATACTACAGATCTTCTGAAATTTAACAAATTAGCAGTGGGATGGTTGCCATTCACATTTTTGTGTCTCTTGCATTTGATATAGATAATATGTATATATTCAAAATTATTATTATTAAAAAATACTATTATTAGGGTAAATTAGTAATTCAATTTTCGTAGCAGAATGTTAATAAAGTAATTTGATTAGATTGCTATCTACGATACATACATTTTTAATTTTGATAAGCATTGTAAATATTTGTGAACCTATTTAATATATAAGTAATTTGTTAATAAAAATATCCATAGCGTTATGTTATCAGCTTTATCTAAATCATGTAAATACTTCAGGTGCAAAATCGGTGGCCTGCACTTAGTTGTATCGCCTTGAGTGCAAATTTTTATAATTCAATTATTGTTAATCATCATCAGGTGTGGTAAACTTATAAAAAAAATTACCTATTACCTGAAAGAAATTCAAATTAATTAATTAATCAATTTTTTACACTGG